TTCTTATTTTTTCTTTTTAAGCTAAAACAACTTAAACCGGTTTAACTAGACATGTTTTGCTGGTGTGAATGGGTCAGTGAAAGTCGTTAAATTTTTCGGAGACATGGTTAGCGATCCAATGAGCACTGAGGATATTTCGGTTAAAAAATCGAGTCCCGACGTATCGGAACTACCAGGAAAAGAAATATGTTCCAACCATTGTAAAGATGCAGACTATTATGGCGTTCATTACTGCTCAAAACACTTTGAGCACATATTTGACTTTCTGATACCTTTTTTGCGTTCAAGGGATCAAATTCCTCTGTCAGATATCACGTCCTAAATTTTACGAAGTAAAACCTTGTATTCTATAGTATGGCGTCAAATACACCGACGTCTATTTTGACGGCGAGAATTCGATCATCGTTTAGTGGACTTTCAACGTCTTCAAAAAGTCTTAATAGATTACGTAACCTCGAAGTCTTAATACGTGCAATATTATATTAAGTAACGTCTTTAAAACCCAAGAATGAGCACATGTATATCTCATTTATTACTTGGCCAAAGCTTGCACGAAAAGAATCCTTCTTGCAGGTATGTAATATTTACATTTTTCTCTTGGATTCAGTTACCTCATGCATTATAATACTTAAAATAAAGTTATAAATTCTATAATTACCGTAAATCGTCTATGATCGCTCCTGTTGATGGGGGAGGGGGGATATTTTTTGCAGCGTTTATTCGAAATTTAAATCTTGCCGATAAAGGTCCAATTTTAACGATTTTTTTGTAATTAGTGAAAGTTCTCCCCCATCTTGCAACATTGCAAATTATCCCAACCTCTGGTAATGTGCGTAGGAAACACCAAACCAAAAAACAAGCTATACCAAACAAAAGAGTATAATTCAAGATAGTGCCGGGAAGTTATCAACGGATTTAACTATCATTGAACCAATAGTTTGAAGAACTCGTCCAAGGGGAATCGACTGCGAAGAGAAACTTTCCAACACACAGTTATATATCCAAACTGGAAAGGTCACGCCCCTCCCGCCCCAGCCACCCTCACACACATACAGTTACACTTAAATGACACCAACAGTTGATTTATTTCTGCAAAATGATCGTTACATATTTTCTTTTACCGTGGAAATCTTTGTGTTCACGAAAGAGAAAAAGAAGAAAACGGCTGGAAAATCTTAACTATTAACTACAAGTGCAAACTATTTTAAAATGTTTGCGTTATCGCAAACTTATATACTTGGAAATAATTTTCACGGAAAGATATGAATAAATAAAAAAAGATAAATAAATAAAGTTAGCCAAAATTTAGGATTATGAAATGATTCTTACTCCACTAACAGGAGATATTCCATGTGAAAGGCTTTTAAGCTTCAACATAACAAATTAAACAAAAAGAAAACTTGCAAAAGAAAACGTAAGTATCAGGCGGACTGAGCTGCCGTATAATGGCACAAACTCGTGCCAAAATAACAGATAGTGGTTATAGTAGGGTAT